CTCCTGTGAAAGCTTTACGACGGAGCTATTTGGTTTTGTCGCTATTGTCGCGACAATTTTAGCAGAGTGACAATTGTCAGCACAATTGTCGACAATATTTCATATCACTGTCGTTTTCTAAAAATTTTCGCAGTTGCCTACAAGCGTATATGAAATAGAAAAAATATCGCCGACAATTCTGCCATCGAAATTTTATAGAAAAATCGACAATTGTCGCACCAGTCCCTTTTATGAAATAGGCCCCTGATTTACCGTAAAATTGTCGCACAGTGTAATCAGCATTGAAATAGCGGGGAATACCTACTAAATGCCTCATTCCCTCGAAAAACAAGCCGCTTTTCAAAATGGTGTAATGACTGTTAAATATCTGCGTCAAACGCGAATACAGGTAAAGTAAATGTACATACTGCTCATACACATGGATGTACATATGTGTGTACATTAGGGTGGTCCAAAAATGTATGGGAGAAAAGTAAAATCGAACATTTAATGCTCTCACCCCCTAGGATTGTTCTATACCGAAAAAAAATATACCCCTGTTTTTTTATTTTAAAATCAAAATATATTTAGAGGTCGCTCAAAGCGCTCAAAGTTTCCCATTTTTCGTAGAAATGGCATAGAATCCATGGAAATCAAAATTTTTCAATCTGAAAACTCTGCTTCTCTTCAGAAGACTTCAGAGAATAATGCCCAATTGTTTATTTAAACGTTTTTTAACTTAAACTATTTTTTCTTTTTTTCTTTTGTATATTTCTGTTTGTATATTTGATTTTTTTTTGGATATTTCGGAGACCCTTAAAAAATAGTTAAAATTAAAAAATGTTTAAATAAAAAATTGGGCATTATTCCCTGGAGTCTTCTAAAGAGAAGCAGAGTTTTCAGATTGAAAAAGTTTGAATTCCATGGATTCTATGCCATTTCTACAAAAAGTCTTTTTTTCCCCATACAAAATACATGGGAAACTTTGAGCGACCTCTAAATATATTTTGATTTTAAAATAAAAAAACAGGGGTATATTTTTTCGGTATAGAACAATCCTAGGGGGTGAGAGCATTGAATTTCCGACTTTACTTTTTTTTGGACCAACCTAGTGTACATACGTATTTGAAAGTCCTTGTTATTTCTATGAAATTGTTGCGGCCAGATACTATTCAGATTATGCTGATTATAAATTTGTTTTTCATTCCTTATGTAGAATATAAAGATTTAATCTATGTCCTTCGCTTTGATTAAATTCATTTTATTTTTTATTTTGTCGCCTACCTTTACAGCTCATCCATTCCGCTCCATTTGATCTCATTGGCGCGTATTATAATTTTCATGATTGCAATATTGGTACATGGACGTTTGGTTGAGTGGACGGCACGATTGGATTTCCTCTGGCAGCTGCAAGCATCACAGGAGAAAAAGGAGATGGACGTTTTGCAGGAATCAAATAAACGGATCTTACATAATTTGCTGCCAGCTCATGTGGCTGCACATTTTCTCGATAACCAATTTCGCAGCAATATGGTAAATAGTTTGTTGCTTAAAGAAAAAAAATACACACCTCAAGTTGTACACCTATTTTTGTGATTACATACCTACGTATGTATGTATGAATATGCATGCTTGGCATTCGCAGCTCTTACATATTACTTTTCAGTTCCCGATTTTCGAAGAGCAAACAAGTTCTAAGCGTTTGGCACGTCAGGAACAAGAGGCAACATTGCACACAGACACGAGTACACAGATGCAGATGCTTCAATTATGCCAAATAATATACTCTGACACAGTAATTTTCACACTTTTTTCCAAAACCCAACTGAAAGAACCAGAATTAAACACGCTTTAAAAATCTCCATCCACACAGAAATCAAACTTACGAAACTAAACTGCAGTCGAAACAGTTTCAGTTTTGTTCGTAAAAGATTTTTTACATGCAAAACATTTTTTAAAACTTTTCTTGCTGCAAAAACACGCACATCTTTTAATTTTTCTGCATAAATACTTTGACTTAATAAAGTACTTTTCACTTTTTGCAGTACTTTGTGTGCTACATGACACTGTTGATATTTATACTTTTTGGCGTTGTTGTAAATTTTTATTTGTTACCAGTTTTGTTTCGCCGATTTTTGAAAAATTTATGTTGTGTCGTGTCGTTCTGCCCGGTTGTCGTTAGTGGCGCGGCATTGGGTATCAAACACTTGTGTGTTGCCAACTCTCTTATCCCCTGAAACTTTTAATCAAGCATATTTTTTTGGCGATTGTTGTTGGTTTCTTTTGTCGCTAAATCATATAGGTCAATCCCTCACAGGAACTCTATCATCAAAGCTATGCTAAAGTCGGCGTTATTTTCGCTTCGGTACCGAACTTCCATGAGTTCTACACAGAAATGGATGGATCGGATCAAGGATTGGAGTGTCTGCGGTTGTTGAATGAGATAATTGCGGATTTCGATGAGGTGAGTGATACCGATTTTTATAAAATAAAATTTATTGTAAATTTTGAAACCTGTCGCTAAATTCAAGTCGAGATGGGTTTTGCGGAAGGTGGGCTTAATGCTTTGTCTCGACCGATAAATATATGCACTGCGTCCTTATAACTTCTTAAAATATTTTAAGAAATTTGACAGGACTTTATGTTAGCCTCTGGCCAGATCCGAGAGCTGGTTTTCAACCCATACATTTGTCACTCTTTTGTTTTTGATTGATTTTTAGATGGTCATGTCGTTGTAAATCACTTGCATTTAAGCGTACCCAATGCTCTAAGGTCTGTAACGTAGAATCTTTTTCTTAAACACTCCAAAGGGTTGTTGGCATACCTAAAGATTACGGACCTTTGAGCTAGAGAAAAATAAAAAAGTGGACGTGGTCTACTGTGGAATTGAAAGAAATTATTATTTTTTTTTGTGACCAAGAACAAATAAATTATGAAAATGTATTTTTAATACATTATCCTTGAAACTCCTTGAAAGTATTCAACAGTTATTTTTGAAAAAAATATGTTTTAAGGATTAATATGTACACTGCCACACCATCGAATTTTGTCCATCTAACTTTATCAGTTTAGGATAAAAAAATAAAAGTGATCTTTTAATTTGCACACCTATTCTTACTTTTTATAATTAAATTCATTAAAATCATATTATCTCATTATTGAATTTGCACACCAGTATTATGCTAAATTTTACGTTACAGAAGGAATGTTTTTGTTTATTTTATATTGAATAGTAGCAAACAAATAACACAACACTGAATGGTATTAAAATGCATTTGAATGTATAAGGGTCTGGTCAGACCCATTAGGTACAAAAGTGACTAAAATAGTGTTCGGCCAACGGAGGGTTAATGCGATTTCGAAGGACGTGTGCGATATTCTGAGGGAATGCATTCCCTCAAGATGTCAAAATAGTAAAGATAAAAAATCGTCCTTAAACGGTCCCGATCTCGACCATTTTTAACTCATACTTAGAGCATATAATATTTGTTCCATAGGACGAGGAAAGACGGTAGTCTATCAGAATCTTCTGACAATTTTGCGCCGAACCTTCTTAAGAAACCTCCCTATTATAATTGCCATTCGTACTGTCATCAGGTATGTAACTTGAGAATAGAAATCGGTGCATCTTTTAGGCGCATCAATATTACATAGTTACATCCGAGCTAATAAAAGGAAGGTAAAAAGAAAATAATTTTGGTTACTCTGTCCCACATTGCATATGAATAACATTCTTCTGCTTATTTATCCATCGGTTTTCTTCTTTAGTAGCATGATTATATTGTAAAACAACAGGCTATATTGCAAATAAAAAATATGTGCTACTTTAACATTTTTCTCCTGTTAAAATTTGAATTCCTTAAATTCACAATGCAAACTTAAAATGAAAATATCTTGAGAAAATTAAAATCTTTTTTCCGGTCATAGTAATCGTAAAGCATTGGAAAAAACATAGTCCGAAAATTATTGAAAGATAATAAAGAGTTCCATGGATCGATAATTCAGGCATTGTGGCGGATACCCTAACTTTTCATTGGCAAATGGATGCCTAAAGCTAAGGTATTCTACATACATACATACAGCTCTTACCCCATCGATTATGCGTATTTTCGATCAAAGTGACCCAAACTTTCGTGATTGCGCTTTTCACCAGGCTGATATCAAAAGTAGAATTATCGGACCTAGTAGTAGTACATATTTTAGCCACTTTGCTCATGTGGTTGATGGCTAATCAATTTTTACTACTTATATAAAGTTCATTAAATTATTTAAATTTTACCGGAGTATCAATCCAAATAAAGCATTCATCTCGTCATGTTGTACAATGTGCAAATAATTTATTTTTTTTTTAATTTTTATCCTTTTTTAGCTTTTGAAAGAAGAACGTTTCCATGGCATTGATAAAATCAAAACTGTTGGCAGTACTTACATGGCTGTCGTGGGCCTTATACCTGGTCAGTATTGAGAGCTAGCTATTTACATTATTTTAGTTTACCATTAGGAATATTGATTACCTTTAAATTTCATATCCAGAATATCGCATCAACGCCAATGATCCCAATTCGGTGCGTCGCCACATGACAGCTTTAGTCGAGTATGTGAAAGCAATGCGACTATCCTTGCAGGAAATCAACAGTCACTCATATAACAATTTTATGTTGCGTGTTGGTGAGTGAATAAAACCTTTTCCGCTCTCCGAAACCGTTTTTGTTACTTATTTTTTAAATATATTATTTTTTACCAATTACAGGTATTAATATTGGTCCTGTGGTGGCTGGTGTGATTGGCGCACGTAAACCACAATACGACATTTGGGGTAATACCGTAAATGTTGCCAGCCGCATGGACTCTACAGGCATACCTGGTTACACACAAGTGACGCAGGAGGTCGTGGATAGCCTGCAGGGCTCACACTTCGAGTTTCGGTACAATTAATTTTACAGTTGTATTCAACTTTGCAATAATTTGAATCTCTTACACATCTCAACAGCTGTCGCGGCACCATCAAGGTCAAAGGCAAAGGCGATATGGTCACATATTTTCTATGCGACTCTTCGAATAATGGCCTCAATGGCGAGGTGCGCAACGCTATGATCGCCAATCGTGCCATCACACAAAATGGCAACGGCTATGCGTCACAACAGCAGCAACAACAACAGCAGCAGACACAATCGAATGGCTTGCACGCCCACCCTGCGGAATATTATCAGAAGCAATCGCAGCTGCAAGATAACAGCTATCAGCTCAACATGAACAGTGAGACCTACAACATTAAGAAAGATAACTACGGTTACAACAACATGGACACAAGCCAAATGCTGTTGAAAACTTCACCAAATGCAATGCAGGAAGAGCAACAACAATTGCTTTTACATCAGCAGCAAGCTATGCCACAACAATACCAGCATCATTTGGCGCAGCAGCAACAACAGCGCTTGAATAGTAAATTGCAAAAGCAACCGAATTTTATTGCCAACGGTGGCCTCCCGAATATACGTGAAAATGGTCACAATGGCGAACATAATGGCAGTAATGGCGGTAGCAATGGTGTTGGTGGTTATGCCTACAATGGCTACCATCCAGCCCAGCAACAAACACAGCAGCAATACAACAACGGCGGCTATGTACATCATCAGCGATCACATTCTTCCAGTTCGATGGGTGGCGGCGGTGGTGGCATTGGTGTTATGGGTGTGATTACAATGGCAGCGTCTTCTTCCCCCGCCCTACCCACGCAACAACAACAACAAATACCAGTACCAGTTCCAGTACCAGTACAAGCCACTCCCTCCATGGTAATTTTGCGCGAACAATTTAATATAATTGAAAATCCCGGTGGTAATCGGCTTGAGTACATTAATCATGACCCCTACGCCCAGGTGGAAAGCTATAACAATTTATTTGGTAACGGTAATGGTGGTGGTGTTGTAAGCGCTGGTGGTAGGCGTGAACCGCATGCTGCACGCAATTACCATCTAATGCATCACAATCAACAGCATTCGTCGTCATATAGCACGAATAGTAATTGTTTGAATTATAATAATTGCCGTGAAAGTGAACCATTGTTGCATGCCGCACCAGTTGCCAAGGTGAGTGAATATGAGTATACATGGAATGAGGAGATACTCTTATGATCGTCACTGCAATCCCTCTCATCCACCGATGTTTGAACCCTGAGTACCAACAAAAATAAAATATCAAAAGTGGTCCGTGGGCTTTGCGTTATCAGCTATGCATGTTTGTTGACCCCAATATCGAAGACCCAGCTGTGACGTTTCTATATTTTAAACTGTGATTCGTGCCCTCATTAGAATAAATGTTATTAGAGCAGTGGTGGGCACAGTTACATTCCCTGCAGGAAATATTAGACCAAATATCCGCACAAATATCCCCCCCCTCCTAATCTTAGTGCGCGCGCAGTTAACTTATAATTTCCAAGACGGCTAAAATGGAAGGGAAGAGCACTTCTTTGCTTTGTCCTCATGTTAAGTGATCTGTGGAACTTTACTATAATTTAGGGTTTACTTGTTTTAGCGCTATATATATATATAAATAGTGAGATTGCCCTCGTCCGTATAAAGTCACATCTCCCTGTGTAGTCACAAGTTCAGCTTAGAAGATACTGAAATGTTCTAGTAAGCGGAATGGCTTTTGTACTATTAAGCGTTCCGAGTACCTACACGCCTCCGCCGACTTTGTTTTTCCAATTCAGATCCCTTAATGTAACAGTGAATAGATTCATTTCTACTTTATACTAGGGGTGGGTGTTCTATCCAAAATGTTTGACCGTACAGGTAATCCGAATATTGTAATATCTAAATAAAAAATCCAAATATCCGGATATCCGAATATAAACTAAATATTTCCGTTATTCGAATCTAAAAATTAACACTAAAATTAATATAACTATTACTTATTTTGCAACTCTATAGAGTCAGTAGTTTTGAGAACAATTTTGCGAATCCGTTCAAATACTGCTTAGAATATACCGATTTCTGGGTAAACGGATATCCGTACTTTAACCGTATACACGAACATCCGAACGGCGGGTTTTTATATATCCTTAATTTGAACTTCAAACTTAAAAATTTCAACATTAGTTATTTGGTCTACTCTCAGTGATCAAATACCTTTGTATGTAAGTACCTGTTAGGCCTTTTAAAAATATCCGAAATTCCCTCCATAAAACTTTCTCGTAGTCTCTCTGTTTAAGCGACTTATCCATTTCCCGCATAAACAAACAACAGCGAACACACACACGCACTTGTATTGCACTCCCGCCCAAAACCAAGTGCAGCGAATAAACACACGCACTTGTGTTTAAAAATAATTCGCTCGTTCTTCATTGGGTATGCATTTTTTATGCACTTCTCAACTGCCGCAGAACAAAACCTTCTAAAGTAGTTAATTGCTGGCACCCCAAATCATGCTTAAAAATCTCGCTTGATGCATCACCACTCCTCCGGAGTGGTTTTAAACAGCAAAAGCCAAAGCGCTACAAGCTGTTGGGGCTCTTTATGACTTTCAGCATACAGAGATGGTACAAGAGCTACCATTGGCTACAGCGCCTACCCAATTTTTGAACTTGAATAAATAACCGTTGCTCAACACTCCCGCTTGACGCACACCCCCAAAAACTCTTACAGAGTTTAAGCGGCAAAGCCACTGCGCTACAAGCCGTAGGGACTCTGCATGACTTACAACCATGCAGAGGTGGTTACTGATGGTTATCATTGGCTCCGACGCCTACCCAAAACATTTTTGCTTTAATAAATTTTTATGCAAATACATTCATCCTGGTCCTTCCCTCTCACTGAGTTATTCACTCTGTTTTTATTATGGGTCTTCGATACGTCTTTTCCACTAGTATAACATATTCCATGAAGCCCCCACTCTTGCCTTGACCTATTTATTTAGCCATCAGAAATCTCTGTGTGGGTGGTTCTTAACCAAATTAATGTATTACTAACCTCTTTGACTAACAAAGACTCATTTTTATTTACCAATTTTTATACATAGTATGTACCTATTTATATGTATCCCGCCAGCTTTTAATGCATTCATTTCTAATGTGAACCATACATTTGTGTTATCTCTTTGCATGTATTCGTTACCGACATTTTACACACACGCACATACATATAATACTGAAATAAATAAACATATCCTCGCAAACAATATCCGATGTTATTTCGTGGCTTTAATTATGTCCAACGATCGCTCGCACATTCGTCCACCTCTCAATCAACTACAAACACGGTTATGGTGTACCATTATATTGTTGGTGTATACATTGTTCATTGGCTTATACGTTATTTTTGCAAACTAATACACAAAATACATAGATAATGCCAATGCAACAACAGCATCCCCAAGCATATCCACCTAAATACGAACCTCCACGTTACACATGTCCTAATACCATAATGCTACAACAACAACATCAACAACATTTGCAACAACAACTTCAGCTGCAACATCACCATCATCAGCAGCAACAACTACATCAACAATATCCACTATATTCCCAACATCCTCAACCGCCATTACCAGTTCCACCACCCAAACCCACAAATCTAAATGCATCCTCATTAGCCACAGCCTCAGTGTCAGCCTCAGCATCAGCCTCACTGAAACAGAATACACCTCTCTTACGCACTACCTATATGAAGCCGCTGCCGAAGTTGCCAACCGAGATCGAGGAGAGCCGTGAGATGTCTTCCACCGATGATCTCAGTTCACGCCCACATTCACCATCGATGAGTTCCTCAGATGAGAGTTATTCAAAGACGACCGAAGGCGAGGGTGACGAGGACTCACCGCGTATTATAGCCAAGGGCCAGCATAATCATCATCAACGCAACGGTGCCAATCCTTTGCAGTGGTTATATCCATGCGACATTCAAGTGGATCCTACGTCGCCAGTAGTCGACATGTCAAATCTAAAAGATTTTGAAGTCAGCTCGACAACAGAGAGTCAAGGTCAACAGACGAATACCACACACAATAAAGGTGATTCCTGCAATAGTTTTGAGTACCAAGACCGCGTTTTGCTTGCCGCAGGTAAAAAGCAAGCCAGTAACGGCGGCAGTGGTAGCAACGGTGGTGGGGGCAATGGTGGCGGCTCCACATCAGCTAGCAACTCGGCGAAGTCGCCATTCGAGAGGGAATTGCAGAGACTTTTGAATGAATCATCACGTGCGCGTGCACTTGCTGCCGCCACCTCTTCATCAGGCGGCAACATCACATCCGTTTCGAACTCCAACACCAATCCCGAAGGCAATACGACAAGCAACAGCAGTAGCCGCAATAACATTGAGTTGAGCTACTCGGCGAGTAACAGTAAATTGAGCTCGAATAACGGACTAGCGGCTGGTGGCAGCGGTAGTAATGGCAACCTCAGCGGCAGCAACTCGATGAGTGGCAACAACAACCAAAAGTCGTTAACCACGACGATACTGGATGATCTTACTTCGCCAACAACGGGTCGTCAGCCATCGAAAATACCGATCAGCACGAGTTTTATGATTGCCAAACACCCTGTGGGCTTGGAGGCCATAAAGGAAATTACGCGAAATAAGAATCCATCAGAATCAAGCCAAATGTATGTTCATTCAATATAATATTTGTATTCCACAACCCTTTCACGTACAAATGTATACAATCCTCATTTATTTAGGCAAACTTCCGATACGGAATCCTGTGAAATATTGCATGAAAACTGCAATCAGCTAAATTTGAACATACTTGACGCAGTCAACAACCAGTCATCCACATCAACAGGCACAAATTATCGGGAAACAAATCATGTGCAGCCACAGGCAAAGGATCACAACCATCGACATCGCCAGCGTCCACGTTCTAAGGACCTCGATCAGAGTCGGGAGAGTCTCGATCAGTTGGCCGATGTTGGCGAGCAGCAGCAACCTCAGCGTCATGTGCGTCACCATCATCATCACCACCACCATCACCATCAACGCCCGCGTGCCAATCATACAGCGGCGCTGAATAATGACACTGAACGCGATGATACCGAAGATAATTTGGCTGACGAAGAATTCGAAGATGATGAGGTGGGACGTGACGTGCGAAAGAAACGTTTGGTTACAATTTTAACGGACGAGCAACATGTCAATAAGATTAGCAGCGGTGGTCTTAGCTCGTACGAAGATGAGGAAGATGAACACGAAGTTAACGCGTATAACCATAAAAACGACGATAATGCTGACTACGGAGATGACGATGATGAAGATCGGCATGTCGAAATGAATGTGATAAACGATGAACTTAAATACGGTGCGGGACATCATAATCACCAGTCGATGGACTCGAATCCTTTGGAAAGTCAATCAGAGTGGTCAGATGATGATTGCCGCGAAGAGGCTACCGGTAAGTGGGCTTAACGAAATTATGTGATTATTATTATTATTATTAATTCAACTTGCGCTGCGACCAAAAAAATCAAAAAATATTGTGCCTAACCCTAATTGTATTCACTTCAACCTTTGGCTGTTCAATTAATTAAGCACAGTGGAAGGTTCCGTGTTCCAAATTTTGGATGGAGAAGATAATCATTCTCCAAGGTGTATCAGCCTACGATTCATGATATGTGGGCAGTCACAATGCATATGCTCTGAGGTTTCCTCCACCAGCTCACAAAACCTGCAGTCCATCTTTACAGAAAGCCCCAGTTTGTTCAAATGGTACCTCAACTTGCAGAGTCCTGTCAGGTAGCCTGTGAGGGTCCTAAGGCCCTCCCGGCTAAGTTCAAGTAGTCTTTCGGAGTTCCTCCAGGAAGGAGCTATGCATTTCTTTGATAGTCCCATTCCCTTTGACTACCGCCAGTGGGCAGCAGTCCGAAATTCTTTCCAACTCCTGAGCAGTTCTGCAGTGTGCCTCCATAGCCTTCATGCCCAGTGACCCACCGCAGCGTCACTCTATTTAGGTTTTCTACGCTATTCAGAAGGGTTTCACAACTGTCCGCAAGCCTTCATGTCGTTCTAAAGGAGTCTAAGGCCTTTAGTGCTGTCTGACTATCCGACATAATAGTTATAGTTCGATAGCGAAGACTTCCGCCTGGAAAATGGTTGGGTATAAGCCCATTGACAGACTTTTTTGGAACCTTGGTGCAAGTACGCCTGCCACAGTACTCCGTAATACATCTTCGATCTTTCATAGACCAATCGGTGTAGCTTGCTCATAGCTTTCGATATTGCTCAATAAAACGCGTTGTCGAAAGCACTTGGTATGTCCAGGAATGCTCACAAAACTGTCTGTTTATGCTGCAGTTTTTTCAATAACTTGAGTTAGGTTATGTATTGCAGTAATAGTAGATTTGCCTGCCTGATATGCGTGCTGACTCTCACATAAAGGCTTATTGTTGAGAAGGTTATCCCTAATGTGAAAGTCAATTAGTTTTTCTAGTGTTTTTGCTAGAAACGAGCTGAGGCTAATTGATCTATACGCCTTTGAGAGTTGTGCCGAGTTTTTCCCCACTTTGGGTAAACAGACCACTTTGACTTCACTCCATGTTGATGGTACGTGAGCAAGTAAGGGGCTTGCTCTCAATAATCTTGCTAGTAGGGCAGATATTAAGCCGATGCTCTGTTGTAGCAAGCATGCCATCTGGAACAATAGATTTGTAAGCACTAAAGGTTGAAATGGCCCACGATGTCTCTCCCATACTGACGATTCTTCCTGCTAGGACTTCTTCCTCCTGTTTGCGCATACCTCGCTCACAGTGTTTGTTATAGGACTTCAGTTTCTTGGGTTTGTAACAGAAGCCTGCTAGTTTCATCCGGATGCCAGTGTAGGTACCGTCTCTTTCCAGAGTTCATAGGACGTTGAGAGGATCCAGTTTATAGGCCTTTTGAAGGCGATGCACTTTTGGAGGGAAGAAGTGATTCCACAGCACTCACACCATGTAGCCCTTTTACACCTTCCGAGCTCACAGTTGTAAGCTCTTAAGGCTGACCTGTAGGCGGTCCAGTCGCCTGTTGTCTTTGCCCTATTGAAGAGTTTTTTGGCTTTTTTTTAGTTTCTCGGGAGAAACGTTCCACCAAGGGACGTCCCTTTGAGACTTCTTGGTTCTCAACGAGCAGCTCTCTTCTAAAGCTTGCCTCATCCTCAACTTCATAGATGGATGTAATTAGGGCCCCA